ACCTATAAAATACTCACATTAAGTGTTTTCTTATGTAGGTAAAAATCTGTTAACAACCTGTTAAAATACACCAGAATGCAGGAAATGATATTGACTTCTTTAAAGTTTCCTGGGGGAGGACCCCCAGACCCCCCACCAGTGGGTCCCCCCAACATTACAAATAATTACTCTTGTTTTTTGTCTCTGAATGTTATAAAATCAGTGATATTATCTGTGAAATCACAAATTGAACATCTGGTGGCAAATCTGTAGCTTTATATTGTCATAGTTTTCAATTTGTCATTTTTACAAACACATCYTAAAATGTTCTGTTATAGATATTAGTTTTGGTGTGCCACCCCTGGTTTTTCAGTGCCCCCATGGACCCCCCTGCAAAAATTTTCTGCAGGCACCACTGCTAAGACCATACCAGATAATACTTTAGTGGCTGTGATTTGACAATAATGAATGAATCAGAATTTAGCTGAACTCCTGATCAAAGCTATCAGATGGCAAGAAGTCACATTTTGCATCGTCTGATCTTCTGAAGGTTCTCAGTAGAGCTTCAAAATGCAAAAAGGACTGTGAATCAGACCACAAATAAAAAAGAGTAATTATTTTATTGCAAATCATTAAGCTGAAATAAGCTACCACTCATGTCCTTTAAACCCCTGATTTAGACTGTCTACCTGTGAAAACCAGTTCTACATCAAAACATGAGCATGTTTGTCTGCTTTCACCCACTCAGGGAGTGACAGACACGCATGCAGAAACCTTCCAGCTGTTTTCTCTTCCAGCTGTTTGACCTGCTGCTTTGTTCCAGGATGCCATCCGGATGATGATCACTCAGGCCAGGAGACATCTGGAGGAGCTGCAGAAAACTCTGGCCTTGGCTCGAAGTTAGAAACGGAGCGAGTCCAGTCTCTGATTCATTTATTTTATTTTTTTAACTCCAACCCAGAAGGAGACGTGGAGAGAGGTGGGCCGCTCTCTGCTGGGAGGAGGTCCCTGATTGGACCACAGCTGCTGGGTCTCACATGTTAATGGTGACTGTACAGTTAACTGGACTCCTCTGCATCGTTAGAAGTGAATAAACAACACAAAATCACAACCAGAGTGATTATTTTTAATGTTTTCTCAGCTGTTTTTATGACAGTGAAACAAATGGTTCAGTTCTTTAAATCTGCTCTGGTTCTGGAGGGACTGACATCAACATCCTGCTTTGACCTGAGGATAAAACTATATTTATGTAAAGAGAAAAAAGACATCTGAGTTTGAGTCGTTTCATTGAGTCAAAAATAAAATATAATCCCATTCAAATCATAAAACAGAGAAAACTGTAAAAATGAGGCCAGTTTAATATTTATTTGGGACCTACTAGATGTTTAAAATATTAAAACAGTTCATTAAGTTTTTAGAAGTAGGTTTTTACTTGTAGTTATATCAAATTTCTTTTTTTTTTTTTTTGCAAAACTTCATTTTTAAAGGGATCCCT